TTGTTGAAGAAATAAAAGAAAATTACTTAAATATTAATACTTTAATTCTAGAATTACCAAACCTACCAAAATAATGGCTTCCAAAATACTAAATATTAAACGTGTATAATTTTTACCATTCAGATAAGTATACTATTAATTAATTTATCAATTTATTGAACGACAAGTATACTTTTTCATTTATGTCTTTTTTATCCAGGTGAATCATTCATGTTTAAAATCTTAAAGAATCAATGACATATTTTCATAATTTCACTTATTACACAAGGAAATAGTAACACAAATAATGTTAAATTCCAAGGTAAATATTAAAAAAAACAATATTTCTAATTAACTATTTACTAATTTATTATTATATTTGTATTTATGCTATAACTATTTATTTATCATAGATTAATTAGTATATACAATAACTATCATACCTAAAATTTTATTTTACATATGAATTATGAATTTTACTTGAATCTTATTGTTTCATAAAAACAATAAAATTCAATTGCATTTATATAAATAATAACTTTTTTTATCCTTCATCTAATCATATTTCATAAAAAAGAAAAAAAAAATAGAATTGGAAATAAAAAAGTTCTCGTCAGTACACATCTGTCTAAAAATATTGTAAATTCTAAAGTAAAAGTGAAAATTCAAAGATCACAGCAAGATTAAATAAAATTTCACCCGAATCTCTCCTCGACCGCAATTCTTTTCTCAAACATTGAAATGCCAAGTATTTATAACGATAAAAAAAAAAAAAAAAGAAGAAGAAGAAAAAAGAATTCAGCACACAAACCGATCACTATTATCGCTCTAGTAATGATACTTCTAATCGACTCGTAGAAACTCGTCCGCGTCGACAAGCTCTCGGCACCGAACTCTCACCTGACTCACATCCTCCGCTCTACAATAAAAGCAACCCACGGAATGCTGGTCAACAGAATTACTGGAACGTAAAATCCCGGATACGGGCTACCGTTTTTCATTCATACGGCCACGGCCAGGTGTCCACTCGACTGGTAGCGAGCAAACGGTGCTCGGACATCGCGACGCGACGTTAGAAGCCAAACAAGAGGATCGTCAGTGTGTTCCGTGCCAAAAAGGTGGACCATTGGTAGTGCCGGCGTATCCGTGTCCGGTACCGGAAGCGTGCACCTCGATCGAATCGTCACGACGCGTACACGATAGCGAGGTATGCGTCCAGGCTGGCCCATAGTGCCGGCAATAACTCGCCAGCTATTTCAGGAGGTCTAATTCGAGCCGGGTGACGGTAAGCTTTTAACGGCAGCGCTGCTAGCATCATCCACCGTCGTTACTGCCACCACCTATGGCACCTCCACCACCACTACCACTGCCGAAGACGACGATAACCACCGGAACGAGGAGTCTGATGGCAGAGAGGCTGGTGCTCGCGCAGTCTCCCGTAGTTCCCCAATACACCACCGACACTGCTCCTCTGATCCTTCAAGGTAAACTATGCATCTTGTTCTCTTTCTTTTTTAGTATATTATATTGGTTAAGTTAATGGACTAGACTGGATGGGATTACTGTTGTTGTGGTTGTCTGGTTTTTTTTTTTTTTTTTAGTGGATTGAAGGTATGATTGAAGGTATGGTTGGAAGAGAATTATTTTTTATTTTGGAAATTAACGAAGACAGAAGAAATGTATAGTTCTTGTGAAAGTGGTGAATGTTTTGTGAAACAGTAAATTTTAGTAAAAGAAGGCATTGTAGAGTATTGGATGAAAAGTAACAAAGTTTGCAAGTGGTTATAACTTATAACTTATAAATAATATCGTGCTACTGTGTCGATGAATTACAGTTACAATTAATCAAATATCAAGTTATTCAGAATGTTCTCTATAATATAGATAAATTATTCAAAAAATGTTGGATCTGAATCGTACAAACCACGTATTGTTTTTTTAAACAAGATTTTGACGTACAGTGACATTAATGGCATCAACAGAAAAGAGAAACAATCAACTATACATTAACACTATAACAAAAATTGGCTATCATGATTACATTAGTACAGTTTGAAACAAATCCTAAAATATATATAAAAGTTATAAAATACTTATTGTAACTATATTTCAGAGAGATCATAAAAGTATTTAGACAGTCAAGTTCTAATTATATTAATAAATTTCCATATTGTTTTTAATATTCATTGTATGTACGAAATAACTATTCATTATTCATACTCAACTTCTTACTTGAATACATATTTTCAGGAAATTGGTTTTAAATTTAACCAATATAATCATGACAGTCGTGTCTCACTACAGTATTAATAAAATTCTAAAATACATACAATGTATTTATAAACATTTCCTGCAATAAACTAAGTGTTTTCTGTCTTTGTAAACTCTGTTTGTTGATGCACGTACAGTTCATTATCTTCATACGTTCTTCGACATTTTTCTCAATCTTTTGAAATCGTCAAACTTTCTTCTCTCTGTTCACCTATTGAAGAATGAAATATCAGGGATAAAGAATATTTAATTCTGTAACAAGTACATTATAAAATCAAATTTACTAGAGAAAGAAGAGAAGATGATTTGAATGGAGGGAATTGGTAATTGAAAGAAGAGAAATTGCCAAAAAGGAACTCGTCATCGCATTGATAGCTACAATTAAGTTGTGCTACGACGATTGAAGATCGTTGGACGTATGCCTCCTTAAGCTGACTCGATTCATGTACATCACCAAAATCGGTCAGCTTTCGAGCAACAAACTGCTCACTTGGCAGACGTCCACGAGGAACGTGTGGATCGCTTCGAATTTGATCGCCTCGTATCTCACGCGTTTCAGGACGGAAGATCGTAAGATACACAGATGCGTATTTTGGTACAATGCGGTAGAACTTTCAGTAAACGCATGATTAATTATAACAACGCCATTGTAACATAGTTTTGCAAAATTAGTTTAAACTTCGTTTCGACCTACTGAGAACACTTGTTTTTCAGATTCTCTCTCGCAAACAAATGGTAATTGTCTCATTGCCAATGAAATTATTATAGATGGAAGAAACGATGTGAGACGTGAAATATATGAGGTCGGTGGCTAAAGTTTTATGATTCTAAATAATTAATTCGCGATCAACTGAAAAGTGATTCTTTCATTGCAATATATTTGCAGAAATTTTTCCCTGCTCCCTAAATAAATACTATAGTGATAATACACTACACTTTGGATATTTTAATTTTCCACAAAATTGATTTCTAATTTATATTCTGAAATTTATAATTTCATCGATAAATGATAGAAATTGATTCTAAAAAATTAATCACATCAATTGACAATTCCACTTAACTTATTATAGTGCAACATAGTAATTTACCATTAGATTCCAGATTTAAAAGTGCAAAAACGTACGCGTAAATTATCACATTAAAGTTAATTAAATTCACAAATAAAACAAATGAATCTGGAAATAAAAATCCACAGTTTGTTTGTAGCAATGTTACTTCAATTTATTCTACTTAAAAACATATCGAATGCTTGGGACTTCATGACGACAATAATATTAAAGAAGCAGAATTCGATGCTACAAGTTAACTGAAAAGAAATTATATCGTAC